TTGTGCACAAAATCGATCGAAATAGTCCGCTGTATATGCTTTCGGCATCAGATATGTTGAAGGAACGCTTTGAAGTTGTTTGCATGCTGGGTAAGTGCGCTACATAATTGTCAAATATAGTTTCAGATTTTTAATATTTTAATTATTTTATTTGCCTTGAAGAGGGTGTGGTTGAGTCCACTGGCATGACGACGCAAGCGCGCAGCAGTTACCTGCCCTCGGAGATCCTTTGGGGTCATCGTTTTGTGAACGTGGTCTCTTTTCGCAAGGAGACTGGCGAGTATGAAGTGGACTATACGCTCTTCAATAACACCTATGACGTGGATACGCCACTGTGTAGTGCCAAACAATTGGATGATGTGAAGGCGGAGTATGCGAAAAACTCCAAGTTGGGATTAGGTGAGTTATTCAAAAATAAAAAAGAAGGTGGGTATGTTAAAAAATGGATGCTTTTTTGGGCCAGAATATTAGCATGAATACTTTATTTAGCTTTGTTTTGATTGATGTCGTGTTTGGTGATAAAACATCACAGGCCAGAATTTGGAAATGAGGGCTTCTCTTTAAACCAGGGACCGAGAACAAAAGTTATGATCGAAACTGTCGAAATGTCGTTCTCTAACGCTCAAAAATCCATACCAAAATGAGAACAAAACCTCCAGGAGTGTTTTCACGAAACAAAAAGAACACCCTGTTCAAAAAATATCAAACCCACTGAACACCTAGAGGTCAAACTCTTTCATTTGACACCTGATTTTTCGTATTCCAACGAACAGCAAACACCTTATAATTTTCCGCAAAGTTGGCAACCCTCTTGGAAAAAATAAAACCTTATTGCACATTTGAAGGCCAAGCCCTTTTTTTCAGACCTAATTTTTTAAAATCTGTACTCTCCAAATCTGATATATCTAACTAACAAAAAATGTCCTCACGTATTACATTATGTATGTAAGTTAGTAATTTTTAAATAGGTGGCAACCCCACTCAAAAATAAATAAAAGCTCACTGCACATCCGGAGACCATATCCTTTCACTTGGTATCTATCTTTTTAGTCTAACGAANACATGTTTTTGTAATGCATCGAGCGGATCTTATAATTTTTTAGACAGGTGGCAACCCAATCGAAATTCTAAGTACTAAAAATAATACCCCTGCCGATATAGAATATAATCAACAAAATCTCGCCCAAATCCGTTCAGTAAACTTCAGGATTAGCGTAGTCAAAAAATCACGACTGTGCTTTATTTTATGAAGGGTAAAATAGTAATTTTTAAATAGGTGGTAACCCTAAAATTTTTAAACAGGTAGCAACCCTACTCAGAAAATAATACATTATTACTCATCTAGAGGCGAAGTCTTTTCATATGACAGTGACGTTGCAGAACTGAAACCTTCGTTTATTAAGATTGAATATAGTAATTTTCTTAACAGGTGGCAACCCTACTACAAAAAATAAAACGCTGGTGCTTATCTAGGGGCCAATGCCTTCCATTTGACACCTCATTTTTTGTAATTCAACGCACGGTGCGGATATTAAAATTGTTTAGACAGGTGGCAACCCCATAGAAATTCTAAACACAAAAGGCCACTCTCCTATCGATATAGAATATATTAGAGAAAGTCTCTTCTAAATCCGTTCAGTAGTTTTAGAGATTAGCGCGTACAAAAATCTTTATACTATGTAATAGATAAGAATTATTTAAATCTTCAAATAAACCAACTCTCA